AATTGAAGTAATTCCAGTTTTGATAATTACTCTGCACATGAATGGTAAGGATTTGAGGAAGTCAGGATATTTATATTTATTACAACTGTACCACAAGTGCTTTCATACAAGCAGTCAAATATTTATTCAGGGACAGAGAAAGGGTGTCCCTTATCTTTCCCTGGTCGACAGGAACACAGCCTCCCCAGGCCCCAAACAAAATGGAAAGAAGCCTGTGACTAGTGTTGTGCCTCAGGGGTTGGTGCTGGGCCCCTTGCTGTTTGTTATCTACATGAATGATTTGGATGAGAATGTACAAAGCATGATTAGTAAGTTTGCAGATGACACTAAAGTAGATAGTATTGTGGACAGTTAGGAAGGTTATCAGAAATTGCAGCAGGATCTTGATCAGCTGGGGAAGTGGGCCGAGAAATAGCACATGGCGTTTAGTATAGATAAGTGTGAGGTGTTGCATTTTGGAAAGTCTAATCAAAGTAGGTGAATGGTAGGGCTTTAAGGAGTGTAGTGGAACAGAGGGACCTTGGAGTACAGATGGACGGTTCTCTGAAAGTGGAGTCACAGGTAGACAGGGCAATAAAAAAGGCTTTTGGCACACTGACCTTCATCAGTTACGGCATTGAGTATAAAAATTGGGAAGTTATGTTGCAGTTGTACAGGACGTTATAGTGCAGAAGAAATTTACAAGGATGTTGCTAGGACACAAGGGATTGAGTTATAGGGAGAGCTTGAACAAGCTCGGACTTTATCTTTAGAGCATAGGAGACTGAGGGGTGATCTTACAGAAGTGTATAAGATCATGAGAGCCATGAATAGGGTGAATGTACTCAGTCTTTTTTCCCAGGGTTGGAGAATCGAGGACTAGAGGGCATCAGTTTAAGATAAGAGAGGAAAAAATAAATGGGAACCGTGAGGGGCAACGTTTTTACGCAGAGGGTGGTACGCATATGGAATGAGCTGCCAGCAGAAGTGGTTTGAGGCGGGTACATTAACAAAATTTAAAAGGCATTTGGACAAATACATGGATAGGGAAGGTTTAGAAGGATATGGAGCAAGTGCAGGGAAATGGGTTTAGTCTGAATGACATTTTGGTCGATATGAACCGTTTGGGCCAAAGGGGCTGTCTCCATGCTGTAGGACTCTATAACTCTATGACTCAATGAATAACAGATTTCATTATGTTATTTTTGCCAACCTATTGTAATCATGGAGAAAGGGTTTGGACATGACTGTTAACCCAAATCTGGCTTCCGAAAATTGGGCTCTTTTTAATCTGCCTTGCATCAATTTTAATTGTTATGTGTAAAATAACTTCCTGGGATAATACAGCTAGTTGCTGCATTGACATCCTATGCTCCAGGTCGTCCTAGCAACTTTTGACCTCACCCAACCTGGACCTTCAAGTTATTCTTACCTAGTTTATTACTTCTCATGTCATTATTTTTCATGATAATATATTCTTTTTCCAAACATTTGTAAGAAGAAATGTATTGTTTGATTTCAAGTGTCTTCTATTAGTAAAAATTGGGACATTTTTCTGAGGAAACTAGCAAAACCTAGTTAATAGGTTGCTGGTTTTGAGATATTACCTTATAATCATGGACTCTTAGGGTCAGAGAATGGTTAAGACATTGAATAAAGCCATTTGGCCAATTGTTTCTCTGCCAGTTCTCTGCTGGAGCAACTGGGCTCATCCCATTTCATTGCCCTTTCCCATAGCCTCACAAATACTTTCTTTTCTGAGAATTATTCAGTTGCCTTTTGAAACCTATGATTGAAATCTGCCTCCACCACACTCTTAATTGTTACACTCCATACCCTAACCAAATACTACATAAAAAAGATCTGAGGAAGGATCACTCAATATGAAACGTTAACTCTGATTTCTCTCCACAGTTGCTGCCAGATCTGCTGAGCTTTTCCAGTAATTTCTGCCTTTGTTTCTGATTTACCATATCCGCAGTTCTTTCAGTTTTGATTTTACAGCATAAAAAGTGTTTCCTTTTTATTATTGCCATTCACCTTAAGGTAATGTCCTTTAGTTCTTAAGCCTTCTGCCAATGAAAATAGTTCCTTCCTATCAACTTTGTCCAAACCTGTCACTTAAACAATTCTACCATTTTCCAACATTCTGTTCTCTGAAGGTGAACAACCCCAGCTTCTTCAATATTTTTACACAACTGTAGTCCATCATTACAGGAGCCATTTTTGTAACTCTTCTCCGCACCCTCATTAATGCCTTTTCATTCTTCCCAAATCAATGCACATTGGTTCACCATAATCTCTGTGTTTTTGTACCTAATACCCCTATTTAGAAGGCTCAGGATACAATAGAATCACTTTATCAACCTTCCCTACCTCCTTCAACCAAATGCGCACGTACACACCATGTCCACTCACTGCGCTTACTTTAAAGTTGTATTCTTTCTTTGATACTACTTTTCCAAATTTATTCTACTAAAATACATTACTTCATATTTCCTTGCAATAAACTTCATCTGTCACATGTCCACACATGCTACTCACCTATCTGTGCCCTCATGAAATCTGGGACTGTTCTCTCAATGCACAACACATCCAAGTTTTACATTATCTACATATTTTGAAATTGAGCCTTTAACTCCTAAGTCGTGGTCATTAACAAAGATCAAGCAGAAAAGTGCTCATATGAAAACATATGACTGCATGAATAAGGTGCAGGAATTGAGCCATTGAGCCTTTTGAGTCTGCTCCCAATTCAACAAGATCATGGCTGATCTGTTTGAGGCCTCAGCTCCATACTAGAACCTAGCCCCAATAACCTTTGACACACTTGTTAATCAAAAATCTGTCCATGTCTGACCGAAAATATTCACTGAATCTCCCCCCATGCTAACAGGGGAAGAGAGTTCTAAAGCCTCTCAATCCTCAGGCAAAAAAGAATTCTCCTCCTCTCCATCATAAATTGAAGACCCCTTATTTTTAAACTGTGTCCTGTAGTTGCTATTCTTAACTCCAAATGATGTAAGGTAAAGATAAAGTTGCCATAGTCCAAGAAGACCATAGGGCTGCTTTCTCATTAGAGAGAGATGACTGGTGCTGGTTTAACCTGAGGGTCTCCATGCCTCCGGTGAAGGGGAGAGGTTGAAAAGGAGAATCCTTCATGGTAATCTCAATGAATACAGGAATTAATCCCATGCTGTTGGCACTATCCGGCATCACAAACCAGCCATCCAGTTAACTGAGGTAACCAACCTACTCTTGAAATGATCTAAACCAAGTTTGTCCAACCTTCCCTCCTAAGATAACACTCCAACCCCATCTCATGTTTCAGCTGTCTCAAACATTGTCTAAAGCATTTAAATCCTTTCTTAAATGAGGAGACCAAAACTGTACATGATACTCCAGATATGATATTTCCAATATTCCATACAACTATAGCAAAACTTCTCTACCTTTATATTCCATTTCCTTTTCAATAAACACAACATTTAGTTTGCCTTCCTAATCACTTGCTGTATTTACATACTAATTTTCTTTGACTCATGTACCAGGACAGCCAAGCCCTTTCTTCAAAATAATCATCCAATTTCCTTTGAAAAGGCATGGTGCCTCTGAACCTCAATTTTATGCAATCTCTTTCCATTTAAGAAATATTTGACTTTTCTGATTACTAAAGTGGACAAGTTCACATTTACCTATACTATACTCCATCTGCCAATTTATTTTTTTCCCCATTCACTCAACTTGTTTATGTCTCTTTGCAGACTCTAAATGTCCGCTTCACAACTTACTTTCCAACTATGTTTGCCATCAGGAAATTTAGCAAACATACATTTGGTCATCATCCAAGTAATTGATATAAATTGTAAATTGTTGAGGCCCCAGCATTGATTCCTGGTACACTCCACTGATCATACCTTGCCAACCTGAAGTGAATATATTTATGCCTTCAGTTTCCTATTAGCTCACAAATCCTCTATCCATGCTATAATGTTACCCCCTACACTATGAGCTCTTAGATTGCGTAGTGACCATTTGATGTGGCGCTTTGTCAATTGCCTCTGGAAATCTCAGTACAACATATATACAGATTCCCCTTTATCTGCATTGCTTGATATTTCTTTTTAAAAGCTCAAATGTGTTGGTTAAATATGATTTCCCCTTCACAAAACTCTTTATATTGTGAATCGCAATTATTTCTGGAATGTTACTTAAGCTCTGGTATTGACCCGTGAAATCCCACTTTGAAAAAAATAACTGTTCACCACTATTCTCTGTTTGTTAGTACTCAGCCAGATTCAGAACCATGCTGCCACTTTTCTTTTTATTGCATGGGTTTAATGTTGTTGACAGGGTTAGTACATGTGTCAAACAGCCTTTGGGAACTCGATGAACATCTCATTGTCTAGATCAGCGTCATCAACCTTCTCTGTTATCTCATCAAAAAGCTCCATCACATTCATTAAACATAATTTGTCTTTATCAAATTTGTTTCAGAGATAGTAGGAACTGCAGATGCTGGAAAATCTGAGATAACAAGGTGTAGAGCTGGATGAATATAGCAGGCCAAGCAGCATCAGAGGAGCAGGAAAGCGATGTTTCGGGCCTAGGCCCTTCTTCAGAAAAATCTGAATTCTGAAGAAGGGTCTAGGCCCGAAACATCAGCCTTCCTGCTCCCCTGATACTGCTTGGCCTGCTGTGTTCATCCAGCTCCATACTTTGTTATCTCTTTATCAAATTTGTGCTGGCTTTCCTTGATTAATCCATATTTCTCTAACTGATCGTTACACCAGGAAGGCATATCATTTCCTGTGATCATTTGACTTGTAATTACTAGGTTTATACTTGAAGTAAGACTCCATCACCCATCATTGAAGATACTGATAAGCTATTATACTATTCAAATAAATGAAATTTAAATATGTTTAGCATGTCAATATTCATTAGACTACTGTCTCTGTTTAAGGTGGTGAGAGACGCTTTTCTGTGTTAATGTTTTGTTACTTTTGTTGTCAATGCAGTCTTGAAGGTGCTGAAGGATGGTGCTGACCCCAACACATTGATCTCCTCAGGAGGCTCACTGCTGCATCTGGTAAGAGCTGTGACTGTGTGCCATTATTCATTAGCCTGCTATGTTTTGTGAATATATGAGGACGACTGCATGGAGCCATACTTTTGATAGCAGAGCTTAAGAAGGTGGGGGTCAAGAAAGAACTTGATTCCTTAGCTTAAGGTAAATAAGTGGAAATAATTGTTTGGAAAGTAATTGTTGGACTTTGAGGGTTAGAGTTATTTGCCTTTCTCTTTTTCGATTTATATGATTGTCAATATCACTTTTTAGATTTTACTGCTTGACCTAGATTTTGATTTAGTCCCAACATTCCTGGAACCTCTGAAATATACAGATTGGAGTTTTATGTTGGTCATCAGTTGCCCAAAGTATCAAGTAAGTTCAGCAAGCACAGGGTGGTAGGTGAACAGAACCTGCTGCTGGATCCATTATAAGTGGAAAGGGTTTGGATAATATTCAACTTGTAGAAGTTGCAGAATGGGAGGATAGCCAGGAAATCGGAAGAGCTTTTATATAAATGAGTAAATGGGTAAACTTTCAGGAAAAAGCTTCCTTAACAAAGTGATTGATAGAAGCAATAGTAAACTTTGGTAGAGATTGATCAATTAAATTACAATACAAATGCTCATCCATACAGGATACATGGCTTCTGTATATTTTATATATCTTATCAATGCAGAGATGATACACCAGGTTATATGTAAGAAATTTATTTTAAATGCTTTGAAATGTATACTCCATGCTTCAGATCTAGCATCCAGTTCTTTCGAAAGTTTTGTTTATTTTTCTGAACCACTTCAAAACTTTAACCAATTAAGTAAAAGGACCATCTGTAGCAAACAGATCCACATATTCTAATGTAGAACACCTGAACAATTGAACACTACAATGACCTGCGCATCTAAGCTCAATTTCTTTGAGTCATCTGTTTGCTGATGAGTTCTTCACTATGAAGAAACACCTTTATTTTGTGGTTTTTGTCCTGCCATGGAATTCTCATGGAGAATCTTACATGTCTTTGGAAGCATTCCTTGTTTTGGTGTGGCTCTTCTAAGTGGACAAGCAACAAACAAATAACAGCTTGGTAGTTCATAACATCACTGGAAGGAGAAATATACTCAATGATTTTTGTCTTGCACTTGTCAGGGCTAGGATGTAAGAAGCCAGACTTGGAAAGGGAACACCAACTTACACAGCATGAGAAGAAGGTGCTGATTCATTGGATTATCATTGGCATGGTGATGCAACAGGAATTGTTAATCAGTGCTCTCAAATCAGACAGGTAGATCTTTTAGTTAGGATGACACTATACGAATGCAACAATCTCCGTAACCCCTTTCCCAATGAAAAAGGTGTAATACAAATTTCAGTTTCTTTTGCCCACATCAAGAGAGTCTTGTGTGTTCACATATATGCAGCATTTAACTTTTACAAATGTTTCACACAATGAGCCTGACTGATGATTGAAAATTAATTTGTAATGTAATTCTCAGTATGTTGTAGATTATTTGACAATCCTCATCCAATAGCAGTATCATATCCAATTTTGGATGGAGTATTCTGTGACTTGCAAGCGTGGGCTGATTAAAAGCAACTGACATGTTATCCCCAGTGAATGGTCAAGGGTAGAAAAGTTCAAAACTAGAAGGCATAATTTTAAGGTGAGAGGAGAAAGATTTAAAGGGACCTGAGGGGCAAATTTTTCACACACAGGGTGGTTTGCACGTGGAGTGAACTGCCAGAGGAAGTGTTAGATGCAGGTACAGTTATAACATTTAAAAGACATTTGGACAGTTACCTGAATCGGAAAGATTTAGAGGGACATGGGCCAAATGCAGGAAAATGGGACTAATTTAGTTTGAGAAACCAGGTCGGCATGGACGATTTGGACTAAAGGGTCCCTTTCTGTGCTCTATGATTCTATGACTCTATGTTTGAAGTAGACTGGATCAAAGACCTTTCCATGTGTTTGCATGATATGTAACAAGTGATGATGAGGTTATGGTTGCCATTATCTCGCAAGATAATTTTGATTTGAATGAAAATATAAAAGGCATGATTAGTAAGTTTGCAGACGACATCAAAATTGGTGGCATAATAGACAGCGAAGAAGGTTTCCTAAGAATACAAAGGCATCTTGATTAAATGGGTCAGTGGGCTGAAAAATGGCAGATGGAGTTCAATCCGAATAAATGTGAGGCATTGCATTTTGGTACGACAAAAGAGGGTAGGGCTTATACAATTAATGGTAGGGCCTTGGGCGTGCCGTAGAACAGGGGGACCTAGGGGAGTAGGTCCATAATTCTTGGAAATTTGTGTCATGTATAGACAGTGTGATTAAAAAGGCATTTGGCACGCTTTCCTTCGTTGCTTTGAGTATAGGAGTTGGGACGTTATTTTGAGGTTGTACAGGATATTGGTGTGGCCTTTTCTGGAATGCTGTGTCTAGTTCTGGTTGCCCAGTTATAGGAAGGATATTATCAAACTGCAGAGGGTCCAGGAGAGATTTACCAGGATGTTGCCGGGTACGGAAGGTTTGAGATATGAGGAAAGGCTGGATAGACTGGGACTTTTTTTCCCTAGGATGGAGAATTTCAAGACTAAGATGCACATTTTTAAGGTGAGAGGAGAGAGATTTAAAAAAGACACGAGGCAAACTTTTTACACAGAGAGTGCTTTGTTTGTGGAATGAACTTCCTGAGGAAGTGGTGGATGTGGGTACAATTACAATGCTTAACAGACATTTGGATAGATATATGGATAGGAAAGGTTTGGAGGGATATGGGCCAGTAGCAGGCAGGTGGGACTAGTTTAGTTTGGAAGTATGTTCAGCATGGACTGCTTGGACCAAAGGGTCTGTTTCTGTGCTTATGACTCTAGGACTCTATATGCCCCAATTTAGCATCAAGCTTATAAGGTGAGCAGATGTCTAGGGCTCTATTCACAAATTTTGCCAATAAGATTGATCTTGTTGTTAGTATTATAGGAATCCCAATAAGATTATTGATCATGCATACAACATGCATATTGTAGTGTAGGCTTTCAGCAGTTTTCTCAACAATTTGAGGAAAAGAAGCTTGTTGATGTGCTCCATCTCAATGGTAAATTTGAGTGCTGGCTGACATCATTCGAACATCACAAATATGTTCTCTAGGTATCGAAAATATGCAAGTGTAGGAGGTTAGTCATCATTCCATCTACCAGTTAGTCACAGCAACCAATAAAGACGTTCCTGGGACTAAAGAAAGGTCATGGCAATACCTACAGTTCAATGCACTGCAAGATTGCAATTGCACATGCTTGAAGCTACAGATATTAACAAATAGTATCCATGTACGCAAAAGGAATTCATACATGCATTTGAGATAACACAGTGTAGAGCTGGATGAGCACAGCAGGCCAAGCAGCATCAGAGGAGCAGGAAGACTGACGTTTCAGGCCTAGACCCTTCAGCCTTCCTGCTCCTCTGATGCTGCTTGGCCTGCTGTGTTCATCCAGCTCTACACCGTGTTATCTCAGATTCTCCAACATCTGCAGTTCCTACTATCTCTCATACATGCATTTCACCCTTTTCATTGAGAAAGGTGTCATGGAGGCTGCCAATATCTATTGCATTCCCATGGCAAGATCCTGACTAACCAGACTACCTGTCTGGTCTGAGAATTAAGATTGACATTTAGCTGCTCCTTGATGGCCCAATCAATCAGCAGCCTCTTCTCATATTGCAAAATTGGTGTTTCTTTGCAAAGTCTGATTGCTGGGACCCTACTCCTGTGGAATTCAAGATCAAAAGCTTTGACTCTGTGTATTTTCGTGGTGTCCAGGGCAAATATCAATTAAACTATCAACTTAGGAGGTAAATCTATGCACAGAATTTTCCTTGTAAAAAGACTAATTAATTTTTCATAGTGACAATAGTAATTTTGAGGGTTGAACTTTCAATAACATTTTGTTTTTCAGAAGGATATATTATACAGATTATTCTTTCTGAAATGAGGGACACAAATAGGTCAGTAAAAACATTACATCAATCTCCAGTTTAAAATCCACAGCTGTTAATAACCACTTTCAAAACAAGTATGATTCACGAGCCTAAATTTATTTTTGCATTATATTGTTCCTTGGAATGGATGACACTGATAAGATAGAACTTATTGCCCATATCCAGTTGCCATGTTTTGAGGGTATTACAGGGTAGCCACATACTATGGATCTTGAGAAATACTAGGCCAGTCCAGGCAGGATTAGAAAACTTGCTCAAAAGAAAGATTGTAGTGAATGAGTGGAACTTTATAACAATATTTTCATGATCTTTCTTTTTACACCTAATCAGAGCACAAAAAAGACTTAGATTTACTGAAAACAATTTTACAACATGCCATGACCACATTTAGCTCTAAGACTACTTATTGTGATGTATCATAACTAAACAACTATACTTACAAACAGAAGAATTAAGAAAAATTTTACGACTTCAGACTCGCAGCTTGTGGTTTAGAGTATTACAGCCAATAGCCCCTGTAGGATTTTCTATTTAAACGGAACAAATAAATTCCCTGCTTAGATACCCTATGAGTGAAACTGCAAATTGGTGAAATTTATTTGGCTGATAGTGCTTACCAAGCCTGTAGGATTAATTTATTGTCCTTACTTAATCTAGCTTCACCTTTTAGAATCTAAATTAAATATTTAATTCTTCCACAGGCCTCAATTTTACAGAGAAAAGAGAACCAGTCTGTACAAAGACCTTGATCTGCTTCTAAAGATGTGTATCAAACAGGCAATGGATGGTGTAGACTATTGGCTATATAAGTTTACAATGTTAAAATAGACAACTGATTGCAGACAACCCAGTGAGTAGATTGGATAATGGAACAATTTAGACAAGTATGATTGACATAAAAAAATGCAACATTCTGCTCTTTTAAGGAATATTTTTATGTTTGAGGATAAAAAATGTTTTGAAGCCTTGTTTTTAAATCTCTTCCCAGTCTTGTCCCTTCCCATTTCTGTATTCTTCT